TGTTTTACAAGTACAGTATTGAATATAGTGTTCAGGAAAGCGGGTTTGTATATTGTTGGATTTTGTAGAGAATATTTTACAAAATAAACATACAATTAATTTGTCGTTGGCGTCGAAATTTCCGGAAAACAGTTGTAAAAATTGGGAAAGGCTATATCCGTGAGCCATAAAATAGAGAAACACACAGCAATAATGTCCGCACGTTTGCGAGAAATATCCTTGAAGTTGAGTCGTGTTCCATGTGTGCGTTGCGGAGTTTCTTCAAAGTCGCAGAAGAAAGCGGGAATCTGATGACGGTATTCCATAGCTGTCGAAGTAGGTAGCGTGTCTGTTTCCATCGAGGAAGAAGGCAACCTAGTAGGTTGATTGTGATTGTCTGTGTTAGCGACGATTGCTGTCCACTTCGTCCACACCCTGAGCAATTTGTCGGCTGGATAAACTACCGCGTGTTCAGATATTTGCAGTTGTCGCAAGGCTTGCAATATTTCTTTTGTATTCATTATTTCGATACAGATAGTCGTGAGAATGCGGAGTGAATTACGTGTATTCCTCTTGTACCTCTGTTTGTATAGCGGCGTTGTGTAGGCAGGAGGTTTTCGATAGGCAATCGACTTCACTGCGCGTATCTTCTTCTTCTGTTAGTTGTTCTTTTTCCTCCTCCTCCTCCGTTTTGTTGTCGTCAAAATTGTATCATGTTGATCTCATTGCTGAACCGCTATCGAAATGTTCTTTTTCTTCAAGATACAACACTGTTTAGGTTTAACCAACGTTTAAATCCGAAGGATTCGAACTCGGGACCTCTACTCACAGACCCGATGCCTGGGCTGCGAACCTCCAGACCGATTATAATTATAGGAGGCCCGATTTATTTCTCCGATCAACTGATGAATTCGGTTGAAGGGGACCGACCCGGAAAAAATCCTTACCATCCTCCAGGTGGTGAGCGGATTCGAACTCGGGACCTCCGGGTTCGCAGCCCCTGCACTCAGGCCGCGAGACTACTGGGCAGATCTATTAGATATAACTTAATATAATAATATATTGTGATATAATATATTATATAATTAATATGTATTATTTGTAATTATTTGTAATAACTTATTATAAAAACTTAGTATCTTTTATATTATATTTTATATATTCTGTTATATATTATTATATTACTTAGTTTTGTTAAAATAAAAGAATGTATGTTAGTTTTTTTGAATACTCATAAGGTTTTTAGCAGTTTCCCTTACCTCTGCAACAAATGTTGGTATTTGTGATTTCTGCCACATAAAATATTACATTAAATGTTATTTCTATGTTTATTTATTTTTATTTTTTTTAAATCCTATTTTCTTAATATTGTTTTATTTAAATGTTATTAAAAAACAAAATAAATATCATTAGAAAACACGTTAATTATGAAAAATTATTTCGGTCTCAACAGAACCTTAAAGAGCCGTCTACAATGGAGAGTTGTAGGCCGTAATAGTAAGAAATTGACCAATCACAGACGAAGTACAGAAGAATAATCGATTGTGATTTGTCAATTTCTTACTGTTACGGCCTACAACTCTCCATTGTAGACGGCTCTTAAAGGGTCGTCTACAATAGAGAGTTGTAGGCAGTAATAGTAAGAAATTGACCAATCACAGACTAAGTACAGAAGAATAATCGATTGTGATTTGTCAATTTCTTACTGTTACGGCCTACAACTCTCCATTGTAGACGACCCTTTAAGAGCCGTCTACAATGGAGAGTTGTAGGCCGTAACAGTAAGAAATTGACAAATCACAATCGATTATTCTTCTGTACTTCGTCTGTGATTGGTCAATTTCTTACTATTACGGCCTACAACTCTCCATCTTTAAGAGCCGTCTACAATGGAGAGTTGTAGGCCGTAACAGTAAGAAATTGACAAATCACAATCGATTATTCTTCTGTACTTAGTCTGTGATTGGTCAATTTCTTACTATTACTGCCTACAACTCTCTATTGTAGACGGCTCTTAAGGGCGATGTCCCATTGAGCGGAAATCTATAGCGGAACGGAATGTGCGGAACCAGCTCGACCAATCGTAACCACAGAAAAAGCGAAGGAAAGAAAACGGAATGGCTATGATTGGTCGAGCTGGTTCCGCACATTCCGTTCCGCTATAGATTTCCGCTCAATGGGACGTCGCCCTAAAAGGAAAGCAGCCGTAGTTGGAAAGCACCCATATGGCAAATTCGATTGGCGTGCACTTGCTCCGTTTCAGTGGCTAGTAACTTTTTGTTACTAAACGTACTTGGAGCGTGCATACTGAACTGAGTGCGGGTACTACACTGATCCAATTAGGGCGCACCTCGAAGTGTGCATACTGAACTGAGTGCGTGTACTACACTGATCTAACACAGTGCCACCTAACTGCAATAGTAATTTGCACTGACTTAACTCAGTGCAACTTTATATAAAAGGTTATATAAAAAGAAAAGAAATATCAAAGTTAAAGTCTTTATATTAAGTCTTTATTTAAACAGAAATAAAAAAATTACGCACATCTTCAAATTCACGAGCAACTAATCCTTTTTTGTTTTCTGTATCTGGGATCTTTATTATGTTTGGAGCAATATGATTTAAATATTTCATAATATTGGATGTGATAGCATGAAAAGTAGATTCTGCTATATCAAATCTAGATGCAACATCCCGTATTACACATTTGTTTCCTGCAAACCTGTAAATATTATATTATTCAGTACTTATAT